AAGGCATGCTCAAATTTGCAATTTGGATGGCCTTTCATGATGTCAATCCCTTATAGTCTCTATAGAAGGGTTTCAAATGGGGCTCTATTCCAATCCAGATTGATAATAATACTCCTATCTGTAACTCAAATGGGTTTTATTCATGCAGGATATAGAAAGGGAGAGGAGGAGAAAGGAGAACCCTGAGGCAATGGAAGAGGACGCGGAGGATGAAGTGGCGGAGATCAAGGCAGCTCACTTTGAGGAGTCAATGAAATATGCACGCAGGAGTGTAAGTGATGCAGATATCCGCAAGTACCAGGCATTTGCTCAGACATTGCAGCAATCAAGGGGTTTTGGCAGTGAGTTCCGTTTCTCGGAAGCTGGAACCGGTGGTGCTACTGGGTCTGACCCATTTGAAGCTTCTGCTGGTGGTGGGGCTGATGACGACGATCTTTACAGTTAGATACTCATACACTGTTTCATTTTCAAGTTCAATTACTCAAAGGTTATTTTGTGTACCTGTTGCTTCCCTGGAATCTGAAGGATGGTTGATGGGGGGTAGTAATGCTTTTTTTATTGGATGGTTAAGTTAGGTGGGGCATTGGGTGATAATGTAGGCTCCTGTTTAATACTTTTTATTTTGTTATTTTTATATTTTTTTTTATTAAGAGGAACAACCATGTAGACGAGGGAATTCAGATTTCAGAACGGCCATTTCATTAAGGGGGCCATCTTCTATTCCGAATTCGATCAACATTCTCGCCTCAGAAAAAAAAAATTATTTGCTATATTTTTCTTTGGTGTTTCTGGTAAAATCACTAGCTGTTATCTTTTTCTTTCCCTTCTTCGAGTGACAAGGGTGGTGTTTCAGAGTTGTAATGTTTGTTTTCTTCTTCCTGCCTTTTATCATCATCATTTATTTTGTTCATTTTTCTTTTCTTTACTGTTGTAAACACCACCTAACAGTGTTACGTACATTTGAAATTTTTATTTTAGGGACGACGATGATGAGGGCTTTAATTTTAGGGACGTGGTTGCTGATGATGAGCTTTTTTTTCCCTTTTGGTAGTGATTATGAGCTTTTCCTCCTTGATTGAATTACTCTTTGTTTGCCCCTATTTTCTCAGTGTAAAATTCTTACAAAACCTTGCAATTAATTTCTTACGAGCAAAGTTCAAAATATTGATAGGTATTGGCCTATATAGAGAGTGTATCGGGTTTTGACCGATTCGAGAGGTTGATGGACCTTAAACCGGTTCCTCTGAACTGGATTTGAAAAAGCAACTAAAAAACACCGATACTGTTCGATATGCTTCTTCCGGTATTTCGATGTTTTGAACCTTGCTTGCGAGTGCCCTTTTGTAAAAAACTAAGAATTGATGTCTTCCCATTTCCTTGTTCGGGGTGCATGCAGGGAAGATAGATAGAGAGAGAGGCAGGCTGTTGCCTATGGGGAAGAAAATAACAGGAGAGGAAAGAGGAAGGGAGAAGAAGGGTAAAAATGGGGTTATGTGAAAAGACTAATCGGCATGTGAAGTCACCCTGAATGTTTTATGTGTGACATATGTGCAACATTGATTGATATCGATACCATTGATTAGGCATCAATACATATATTTTCAATGTGTATGTTATACATAAGTCACATTTTATAATAATCAAAAGAATTTTTAAAATTAATTTATGCAAATAAGGCATTGTAAAATAATTAAACATAATAAAAAATAATGTAAATAAATATAAACAAAATTATAAAAATCATTAAAGCAAATAAAAAATAATTTAAGCAAATCTAATATATCAAAATGATTATTATTTTTAATATATATATAAAATATTCTAATAGATTTAATAAAAAATAAATCATATAAGCCCCCACCCTTACCGACATATCAAATTATATTGAAGCTCACCCACCCTTTTTTTCTTTGAAATTGGTTCAGTGGGGTCGATCTAATGCTGTTCTACCCCCTGAACCAGGTCACACTCCAATACGACCTCTATAGGGGCGTATCATTAAGCCCCCGATAGGTACCCTGTACTTTAGGCCGAGTGCCAATTTAGTTCCCGAATTTTAAAAGGCGATAATCTAGTACCTGAACTCTCATTTTGCGACGATTTAGTATCAGATGTTAACTCACCGTCAGTCAATACCATTACGTGATATCAGGTGTGGGTTAAATATTTTTGAAATACCAAAACTAACCTTTATATAAAAATTCAGACAATTTTACCCTTTTCCCTTCCTATTCCCCTATTCCCCTTTTCTCTTCAATCTGGGTTGAAAAGAACGAGAGAAGATAGGAGACTTCACTCAACTCCCCTTTAGACTTCAATCTAGGTTGAATGAACGGAGAGGAGAGGAGACTTCACTCAACTCCGACCTTTCTCATCATTCTGAGCACGCCCATTTCATCCCTTTCTCTTCAAACTTGGTTGAAGAAATGACAGAGGAGAGGAGACTCGGTTGTTCATGTGTAGCCCCTGAAGGATGTATCTAACCATGTCTCCTCTCCTCTCTCTTCAAACTCGGCTGTTCATAGGCAACATGCCTGAGGAAACTATTGTCGTGTAATGGAAGAAGAAGACGAATCGGGAAATTCGATGCGCCTGGAAGTAGAAGTAGAGCTGGCAACCGAGCTACTAGCACTTGTAGTTGCTGTTGTGGTTGTTGAGAGCATTGACTTGTACTCCTCCTCCATCCTCTCCAACATCCCCTTCGTCAATACTTCCATCTTCCTCCACAGATTCTCCACCTGCAAGGAATTCTTTCTTATCAAAATCTATAAATTAATTCAAATAAAGTATTTATCATTAATGGAGATCGACCACAGAGTACATTAAGAATAAAAAGCTGCTTACATGAAGCATTGCAAGTGGAAATGAATAGAAGAATAATCATTTAGTGTAGAAGGAGAATTGAAAAGAAAAACAAAGTAAGACAAAGGAAGCTGTTTAGAATCAATAATGAATCTTACGTTTGCGAACCAAGACTTTCTATCTGGAATGAAGCACTCCTTGGTCCTACAATTCCTACTGATCATCAAATTGGCTTCTGCCATTTCTTGAATCTCCTTCACACATTCTTCCTCCGATATTCCATCTAGTTTTTTAATCGTCTTTGAAGAATTGCTGTTTGCTTATCGAAGTTATTACACTTGTGGAACTCGAAATCCTTAATGGACGAGCTTCTCTGGAGCTCTTCCAGTTTCTCCTTTAGATCTTTGATTTCCTCTTCCAACATAACTCTGACACTTTTTCCTTCATACATCTTCTTTTTCCCCTGTGAAATAAAAAAGCCGATAAAAAACATTGGAAATGGATTCAATCGAGGAAGAAAATAAGTGCAGATCGAAGAGTATGCCCCATTTGAACGCGATTCTTCTTCTAGCTTTTTCAACGCAACCTCTCTTTCCTTTCTAAGAAAATTACACTATGCTCAAAGAATCTCTGCCTGTAACTTCCACTTCTCGCCTTCAAAGTCCTTACTACATCTCCGGCTATTCATAATCTCTGTATACTCGAAGTCATCAACTCTTTTTCTCATCTCATGATCTCTAGTGTTCAAGGGAACAATAGGAACAATGGCATAGAAAGCTCGCTCTTGATCAAGCAGATTTTCAAGTGTTCCATACTTGTTAAGGCGAGAATCCAATTCCTTAATGTTGATCAATTTTCTGATTTTCAAGTGTTCCATACTTGTTAAGGCGAGAATCTGATTCCTTAATGCTGATCGATTTTCCTTTGAGTTGTCTGGTGGTAGCTCTTCGGCGAGTTCTTCTAGGGAGGTGGAGGATTGTAAAGATAGGAGGCAGCGGAGGATGCCATTTCGGTCTCCGTGTGCTTGACATTGTCCTTCACTCGGTTGTTCACGTGCAGCCCCTGAATGAGAGAAGAGAGGAGACTTCACTCAACTCCCCTTTAGACTTCAATTTGGGTTGAACAAATGAGAGAGGAGAGGAGACTTCACTCAACTCCGACCTTTCTCTTCATTTCGAACATGCCCATTCCATCCCTTTCTCTTCGAACTCGGTTGAAGAAATGACATAGGTGATGCAACAAGAGTCGTCTTCTTCGACAACAGCTGAGTAAAAAAGGAGATGCAACAATGTTCCAGCGACGACAACAAGAGTCATCTTCTCCGGAAACAACACTCATTTCTTTGATTTCACCTTTTCTGTCATCGCGTTCAAGTGCCAATTTCAACTTTTCCGGCGATGCATTCGCTTGACATCACCAGCGTGAGGAGACTTCACTCAACTCCGACCTTTCTCTTCATTTCGAGCTTGTCCATTCCATCCCTTTCTCTTCAAACTCGGTTGAAGAAACGACATAGGTGATGCAACAAGAGTCGTCTTCTTCGACAACAGCTAAGTAAAAAAGGAGATGCAACAATGTTCCAGCGACGACAACAAGAGTCATCTTCTCCGGAAACAACACTCGTTTCTTTGATTTCACCTTTTCTGTCATCGCGTTCAAGTGCCAATTTCAACTTTTCCGGCGATGCATTCGCTTGACATCACCAGCGTGAGGAGACTTCACTCAACTCCGACCTTTCTCTTCATTTCGAGCTTGTCCATTCCATCCCTTTCTCTTCAAACTCGGTTGAAGAAACGACATAGGTGATGCAACAAGAGTCGTCTTCTTCGACAACAGCTAAGTAAAAAAGGAGATGCAACAATGTTCCAGCGACGACAACAAGAGTCATCTTCTCCGGAAACAACACTCGTTTCTTTGATTTCACCTTTTCTGTCATCGCGTTCAAGTGCCAATTTCAACTTTTCCGGCGATGCATTCGCTTGACATCACCAGCGTGAGGAGCTGATTTTTGGAATCTCAGGTAACTGCAAGTGTGAACAGTGGTTCCCATGCATTGGTTGAATTAGTTGATGGGTAATTTAGCCTTTTTGTCATCTAAGTAACGGTGAGTTAACGTCGGGTACTAAATCATCGCAAAATGAAAGTTTGGGTACTAGATTGTCGCGTTTTAAAGTTTCGGTACTAAATTGGCACTCGGCCTAAAGTACAAGGTACCTATTCTAAGAATTGATTGCAGTTCAACTCAAAAGTGCAACATTAACTTAACAAAGAACGATTATACATGATGACAAATTAGTTACAGTAACTAGACAATGACCACTAATTGTAAATTAACTATTATCTAGATAATAACTAAATGCTGAGGTGGAAAACTAAAAGAAGATTAAATGCCTTGTTGGTCATCTGTGCTATTACGTCCCCTCAAATTGAGCTCCCCATTAGAGATGCGTAATTTGGAGCGAAAATGAGTGCGGGGAAGCGCTTTAGTGAGAAGATCTGAAAGCTGATCTTTGGTAGAAATATATTTGACATCCAAATTATGACTGGCCACCTTGTCATGAACAAAAATGAAAATCCACTTCTAAATGTTTGGTTATGGAGTGGAAGACAGGATTAGTAGTCAGGTAGGTGGCTCCTACATTATGACACCACAAAATGGGAGGCACAGGGAGAAATATACCCAATTCACCAAGCAAAGATTGAATCCATGTTAATTCAGCTGCTGCGGTGGCAAGAGAGTGGTGTTCCGCTTCAGTAGAAGATTTGACAATAGTGCGTTGCTTACGAGAAGCCTAGGAAATAAGATTGGTTCTGAGAAAAATAGCATAACAATTGGTGGATTTGCGATCATTGGGGTTTCTAGCCTAATCCACATCTGAATAAGTAGAGAGTTGGAGAGTAGAGGAAGGTTGAAACTGGAGCCCAGATATCGAGGTGGAGTTAAGATAGCGAAGCAACCTTTTTACAATAGTCCAATGTTCTGTAGTGGGTCTATGCATGAATTGTGAGACCTGATTAACCAAACAGGCACTATCGGGACGGGTAATCATTAAGTATTGCAATAGATCAACAATGCTCCTGAAAGTAGATGGATTTGGAAGAGCAGAACCAGATGTAGCAAAAAGTGTACTTGATGGAGACTTGGGTGTTGATATTCCCTTGGATTCTAGCTGCTTTAGAATATCCAAGATGTATTTATGCTGATGAAGAAGAATACCTTTAGAGTTGTATGAGATTTATACACCAAGAAAATAATGCAAATTGCCCAAGTCACATAAAGGAAAGGTGGATGCTAATAAGTTAATGAGATGCTAGACTACATCATTGTTATTGCCAACAACCAGTAATCATCAACATATACTAGAAAATAAATGATGAGATTGTCATTTCGGTAAATGAATAAGGAAGAATCAGTTTTGGAGCCGATAAATCCAAGTCCAAGCAAGAATCTACTGAGGCATTGAAACCAAGCTCGGGGGGCTTGTTTCAAACCATACAATGAGCGTCTGAGGAGGCACACATAAGATGGGTTATGAGAATCAACAAATCTCGGGGGTTGTGTCGTAAAAACCTCTTCCTCTAAATATCCATGTAAGAAAGCATTGGAAATGTCTAGCTGTCGAATTGTCCAATGAGAAGAAATGGCAAGTGAGAGAATTAATTGAATGGTTTTAGGTTTCACAACAGGGCTAAAAGTTTCTTTGAAATCAATTCCAGCATGTTGGTGAAAGCCCTTAGCCACCAAACGTGCTTTATTGCATTCAACACTTCCATCAGGGTGACGTTTAATTTTGATGACCCAACGACAACCAACCCCATTCTGCCCAAGGCATGGTGGAACTAAGACCCAAGTTCCATTTTTATAAGTGCATTAAATTTATCAGTCATGGCTTGACGCCACTTAGGATCCTTGGCAGCTTGTGTAAAACAAGTGGGTTAAGTTTCTTGAGAGGTGCAAGCACCTGTGAATATAACTTTAGGATGCCAAGTCCCACCATGGGAACGGGTAAGCATGTAATGCCGAGGTGGTGGTGCTGTAGATGGCACTAAATCAGCAGAAGCGGGAGATGTGTTTGTCAAGTGATGATCATCATGTGATGAAGAACATGGAGATGTATCTCTGTGCTGGCGAAGAATGAAGAGTAGTAGCTGGATTGGAGATAGGAAAGCTAAAAGTACCCGGATCAGTTGGTGTAGAAAAACCATTTGGAGGTGATGCTCTTGCACAAAGAAAAGAGTATTCATAAAAAATTGCATGTTGAGAGATAAACATGCGTTTTGAGGATAGATGATAACACAAATAACCCTTATATGAAGGGTTGTATCCTAAAAGAAGACATGGAAGGGAGTGGGTGTCCAATTTATTCTTGGTATATGGTCTCAGCCATGGATAAACAATGCAACCAAAGATATTGAGAAATTTGTAATTTGGAATCTCAGCGAACAACTTCTCATATGGCGAGAAATAATGCAATAACTTTGTAGGCAACCGATTGATAGGATAAACAGCTATTTTGAAGGCATAACTCCAGAAAATAGAAGGCATGGAGGCTTGTTGTAGGAGAGCTAAACTTGTTTAAACCACATGACGATGTTTACACTCTACAACCCCATTCTGTTCATGGGTATGAGGGCAAGAAACCCTATGTAATGTACCATTGTCAGCCAATAGTAAGAGAGATTCTGATACTCCCATCCCTAATCTGATTGAATTGCTTTGATCTTACAACTAACATATTTTTCAACTAGTTTTTGAAAGGTAATGAAGATAGGAGTCACATTACGACGAAGAGGATATATCCATGAATATTTAGAATAGTCATCCACAAACAACACATAATAGCGAAAGCCATCCATAGAAGAAATTGGGGCTGTTACAGATGAGCACATCAAGATTGCTCTTGGATCAAGCAATCCCTTAGCTCTTCGTGAAACAGTGAGTACCGAGTTTCTAAATGACTTGGGGTTTTTGCTTTGAGGTATATATTCTTCTTTCAGATTGTTTTTGGAAGTACCTTAACCTGATTGTTTGATGGGCAGGTTGTTGAAGTACCTAATGTCAGTTGGGACGACATTGGTGAGCTTGAAAATGTCAAGAGGGAGCTCCAAGAGGTTGTGATAAGTCTAATAGCATGCCTACATTCGCTTCCTTTTGCGATTGCACTCTAGGGTTCTTACTTTGGTTTTTTATATTCTTTTGTTTTATAGACCGTTCAATTTCCTATGGAGCATCTTGAGAAGTTTGAGAAGTTTAGTATGTCACCTTCCAAAGGAGTCCTTTTCTATGGTCCCCCTGGTTGTGGGAAAACATTTCTTGCCAAAGCGACTGCAAATGAATGCCAAGCAAACTTCATCAGTGTCAAGGGTCCTGAGTTGCTCACAATGCGGTTTGGAGAGAGTAAGGCTAATGTATGAGAGATCTTTGACAAGGCTCGTCAATCTGCACCCTGTGTTCTCTTGTTCGATGAGCTCAATTCAATTGCTACACAGGTTAGGGTTTCCCTCACTAAATGTCCTTGAGTTGTTATGCTTTTTTTAAGCTTGTTTCCTAATTCTTTGATTATAACTGGCAGAGGGGAAGCAGTGTTGGGGATGCAGAAGGTGCTACTGATAGGGTTCTGAACCAACTCCTGACTGAAATGGATGGCATGTCAACAAAGAAAGCAATCTTCATATTTGGTGCTACCAATTGGCCTGATATTATTGATCCTGCACTCCTCGGGCCAGGTTGTCTTGACCAGTTGATCTACATCCCTCTACCCGATGAGACCTCTCACCACCAGATTTTCAAGGCCTGTCTGAGAAAATCACCTGTTTTAAAAGATGTGGATTTAAAGGATGTTGCCAAATACACACAAGGTTTTAGTGGAGCTGATATTACAGAGATATGCTAGCTGACATGCAAGTATGCTATTAGAGAGAACATTGAGAAAGTAAGCTCATTCATCACTCTACTTGCTTATGCACATGCATTTTTGTTTGACCAAGGCCTATGCTACACATAGTCAAGTTTACAATTTGGATGGCCTTTCATGATGTCAATCCTATATAATGTCTATAGAAGGTTTCAAATGGGACTCTATTGCAATCCAGATTGATAATAATACTCCTATCTATAACTCAAATGGGTTTATTCATGCAAGATATAGAAAGGGAGAGGAGAAGGGAGAACCCTGAGGCAATGGAAGAGGACGTGGAGGATGAAGTGGTGGAGATCAAGGCAGCACACTTCGAGGAGTCAATGAAATATGGGCCCGAGTACCTGGCATTTGCTCAGACATTGCAACAATCAAGGGGTTTTGGTAGTGAGCTCCATTTCTTGGAGGCTGGAACTGGTGGTGCTACTGGGTTTGACCCATTTACTGCTTCTACTGGTGGCGGGCTGATGACAACGATCTCTACAGTTAGATTCTTTTTTTTTTTGTTTTTTGTTTATGAATGAATGGTATTTTATTAAATAGATAGAAATAGTACAAGCATGAGGCACCCTAAGTGGAGTTGATATTACAGAGATAAGCCAACCGACGTGCAAGTATGCTATTAGAGAGAAAATTGAGAAAGTAAGCTCATTCATCACTCTGCTTGCTTATGCACATGCATTTTTGTTTGACCAAGGCATATGCTACACACAGTCAAGTTTACAATTTGGATGGCCTTTCATGATGTCAATCCTATATAATGTCTATAGAAGGTTTCAAATGGGGCTCTATTGCAATCCAGGTTGATAATAATACTCCTATATGTAACTCAAATGGGTTTTATTCATGCAAGATATAGAAAGAGAGAGGAGAAGGGAGAACCCTGAGGCAATGGAAGAGGACGTGGAGGATGAAGTGGTGGAGATCAAGGCAGCACACTTCGAGGAGTCAATGAAATATGGGCCCGAGTACCTGGCATTTGCTCAGACATTGCAACAATCAAGGGGTTTTGGTAGTGAGCTCCATTTCTCGGAAGCTGGAACTGGTGGTGCAACTGGGTCTGACCCATTTACAGCTTCTTCTGGTGGCGGGCTGATGACAACGATCTCTATAGTTAGATACTTTTTTTTTGTTTTTTGTTTTATGAATGAATGGTATTTTATTAAATAGATAAAAATAGTACAAGCATGAGGCACCCTAAGAGGAGGCACGAGTTGTTTCCTTCCGTTAAAGGTGGTTTCAAACCCTACTCTTTTCAGATTGCAATTACAAATTATCCCAAAACAAAGAATCCCTTGAAGCCCCTTGTTTATGTAAAGAATCTGCCAAAGCATTTGTCGATCTACTAACCCACTGAAAGCTAACTAACATGGTTCTCGAAAGCTATTTGACTTTTTTGATGATGTCCCTATATCCCGAAACAACAGTTTTTGGGTCTGACATCTATCCCACAATCACCTTAGAGTCTCCATGAACTATCAAATTAGTCACACCAAATTGGTTGGTAATCTGTTGTCCTTGTACTACAGGTAATATCTCACCCTTGTAGAGTCTCCATAACTCACTGGACCTAAGAATAAGGATAGAATGTTGCCATCCTTATTTTTCAAGATCCCTCTTATAACCGAAGGTCCTACATTGCCTTGACTGTTCCCATCAAAGTTCAACTTTACAACTCCTCCAGAGGGGGTAACCAGTTTGCTTGTGTCCTATTTTTCTTGGATGATGTGGAGGCCACTGCTACCTAACTCCTTCGAAGGTCATCATTAGAGTAATCCGCAAAGAGAACAGTAGTTTTTAGCCAAATGATTGCCCTTGTCAGTGTACAATTCTTTATTTCAGCAATGCTTCACATTCTCCTGAAAAATTCTGGCAATTTTTTCCTCCCAAATGGTTCATAAGAGGGCTGTCCTAATACATTTCCACATTACTTTCCCTCTCTTCTTTGGCCAACAAAAAAAAGATGGATCAAAAAGCAAATTTACTTCATGAGGCAAGTTCTACTTGTACCTAAACAACATAAAAATTCAATTCCAAATATTTATTGTAAAAGAGCAAGAAATCAGTAGGTGATAATAGTCCTTAGTTAAAGCATTTTGGAGGTGTATGGTTGATGTCTGAGCATTCGGAAAATAGAATCTAATGCCTTCCTTACGTTTAAGAAATGGAATGTTAGCATGTGAGATCGTGTGGAATGAAGGCTGGTTTTTGTTCGTGTGTGTACGCTGTACGTGTGACAAAAGCGTGAGTATGCTGGTTTTTGTTCTTTAGTTTTGTACATCCGAAAGCGAAACCAATGCTCAAAACCATTGGCGGATTTTAGATAATGAGAATGGGAAAGACTGCCAAGTGGTTTCAAGGACCGTTAGGGGGAAGAAAGTAGAGCCGCCGGTCGGGAGCGGTGCGTCAGGGGGAAAGCCGGCGAAGGAGAAGAAGAAGTGAGTTTCGTTAGATCTTTCAGGGACAAGGAGCGTGTTGTGCCAGCAACTGTGAATGGGGAAGAAAGGAAGGGGTCATACAGGGAAGGAGTTTCGTGTTCATACGTGGACGGTTAGCGGCTGTGAATTGGGAAGAAAGGAAGGGGTCATATAGGGAAAGAGTTTCGTGTTCGTACGTGGACGATGAGCGGCTGTGAATGGGGAAGAAAGGAAAGGGTCATACAGGGAAGGAGTTTCATGTTCGTACGTGGACGGTGAGTGACTATGAATGGGGAAGAAAGGAAGGGCTGTGGCAGAAGAAAGGAAGTGTGGGTTGCTGTTAAGATTCAAGCAATTTTCTGAGGTTATCTGGTTAGTTAGTATTCATTTCTTCCATTCTATTTTTTCCTCAGCCTTGATTTTTTTTTTTTTCTGAAATTACCGAAATCACCCAATGCTCCATCTCTAGAGCCGAATGGCCATGATTTTCTTGTTTTCAGTCTTAAAATCAGAATAAATAAGAAAGAAAAGAAAACAAATGGGGGCAAAACTGATAGGGTTCGTCTGTGGATGTAGTGCTCGAAGTCCAACATTTTTCTTTGTAATGACCATTATTGTTGTTCGGTTGTGGTTCTGATTCGAAAAACTTGGACAAAAGCACCAGGCAATAACATGTTAGATACTCTGAGAGAGGGTTTCCAATCCCCTGAACTTTAACTTTTACCTTCTTTCTATGTTTGGGGGGCTAGGGGGATTTGAGGAGCTCCTTTTCTATTTTTTGTTTTCGTAACTTTTGTTTTTTTGCCATTAGAGAGATCTGAGAAGTCAATTCTTGTTATCCGGAAGTAAATGATTGGTAGTCGTCTTTCCCTCCCTTTTTCCCGTTTTAATTTGGCTCCTGAATGGGTGTTATGTGGCTATGTTTCTGATCATAATTCCAGTTTCTTACTAATCTCCATTAAGGCTCGTTTGGTTTGTGGGATGGGGATGAGAAAAAGGGAATATTCCAAAAATGTTCCCTTTTCTCTTATTTGGTTTGAGAGAAAAAGAGGGATGGGATGGGAAAGACGTGGGATGGCAGATCCCAAAATCATGGAATCGGGGTCGCACCAAAACAATGCAACCCCGGTGGAAAAAGTGATTTAATCATTATTACCACTTACCATCACGATGAATAGAGGAGGGAAGGCCAAGAAAAGCAAACCAGTGACAACGAAGATGAAGGAGAGAAATAGTGTGACTTTGTCTTCCTTCATTTCTCCCTTTCTTAGCGACGACGAACAGATGATAGTCCCGTTTCTATCCCTGGGTTCATCTTCCTCTTCTCTCTGTTCCTGTCTCCCTTTCTCAGTGCGGCTCCATCTTCCTCTTCTCTCTTCTCCCTCCGTCTTCTCTCTTCTTCCTCTTCAGATTATGATGGGCTCAACGGGAGTAGCCTTTGTTCGTGAAGTTCTTGGCGAAGCTCTTAGCGAGTGTCACCTCTGTTCGTGAAGTTCCTGGTGAAGCTCCTGGCGAAAGTCGCCTCTATTCGTGAAGTTCCTGGCGAAGCTCCTGGCGAGAGTTGCCTCTGTTTGTGAAGTTCTTGGCGAGAGTCGGTGAAACTCCTGGCGAGAGTCGCCTTTGTTCGTGAAGTTCCTAAAGTCGTGCCTCTGTTCATGAAGTTCCTAAGGAAGGACGAACGAAAAAAAAAAGGTGAACAGTACTTTCCCATTCCATCCCATCCCATCCCAATAAAACCAAACACAGAAAAGTTAAATTTTTATATTTTTCCATCCCACCCAAATCTTCCCAGAAACCAAACGGAACCTACTTGAATGTTCAATTACTCAAACGTTGTGTATAGCTCTCGAATCTCAAGGATGGTTGATGGGAGGTGGTAAAGCTTTTATTGGATGGTTAGGTTAGGTCGGGCGTTGGGTGATAATGTAGGCTCCAGTTTAATACCTTTTTTTGTTATTTTTTTATATTTTTATTTATTAAGAGGAACAATGTAACGATTTCAGAACGGCCATTTCATTAAGGGGGCCATCTTCTATTCCGAATTCAACCAACATTCTCGCCTCAGAAAAAGAATTATTTGTTATATATTTCTTTGATTTTTCTTTTCTATTTTCATCTCTTCTCTGCCTAAACACCATCGACTGACAACTGACAAGGGTGGTGTTTCAGAGTTGTAATGTTTGTTTCCTTCTTCCTCCCTTTTATCATTTTGTTCATTTTTTTCTCTACTCTTGTAATTTGTAAACACCACCAAACAGTGGTGCATTTGGAGTTTTTATTTTAGGGACGTGGTTGCTAATGATGAGTTTTTTTTTTTTTTTCCTTTTGGTATAGTGATTATGATGTTTTCCTCCGTGATTGAATTACTCTTTGTTTGCCCCTATTTTCTCCTTGTAAAAATTCTTACAAAATTTTGTAATTAATTTCTTACGAGCAAGGTTCAAATATTGATACATATCCGCTGAGACATATTCTATTGGGAGCTTTTTGATATTGTTCCTATAGAGGGTGTATTGGGGTTTTGATCGATTCAGGGGGTGGATGGACTGATCCCTCCGA